CTTTGCTTCTACGGGAGGATATGTAACAGCCAACATCCAAATCAAGAAAAGCAAACCAACAACTTCACTCCAAATAACTTGAAGCTTGTTCAACAATTTCTTGGGTTCTGATAAAGCAATTCCAAAAGATCTAAAATGAAATCACCCAATTGTGATTTGAGAGTTTTCAGAACATTGATAACTTAAAGATGTTGTTTCTGTGTTACCCCTCCTCCTTCACTAATCGTCTACAAGGAGGGGCAAGTGTCAGAAGCTCCAATAATATCTAGGAAGATCTGATACTAATTTTCAACATGGAACAAAGAACATGAATACTTTCAAAAGGAATCTCAAATAAATGGAAGTTCATCCAGATAAATTTTTTGGTTTGTTTGCACGTATCACATAAGCTAGGGGAAAATAAATAAAAGAACTTCAGTGTCCAAATATTGTAAACAATTATGAAATGTTAATAAAACTCATGAACTACAAACTACCAGCAGAGCTCTGCAGAAGTATACACAATTCAAGCAGACGATGTAACCATGAACTTACCAACAGAATTAGTCTCTCTACCTGATTGTGACGAACTTATTGGTACCATGTCTCGCCCAGTGAGTCCTCAAATCGATTGGGTTCGCAAAATTATAGCCATCAGCTGCTAGTTTCTCGAGTACCTTCTTAAACGCACCCTGACTCATTTTTCTCCCAGCTATCCTAGCACCACGTCTTTTGTCACTCATGGGCAAAGGATAAGTTGATATGTTGGTAGTGCAACAAGCAGACTGCCAACCACCACATCCCCATCTATAACATTGATGAGGAGCTCCAGTGCAGGAGCAGACAGGGATTGGAATACCTGAAATGTCCATATCAATCCCATTTATAACAAGATCAATGTTCTTCTTTGGTGGTTTCACACGGTGCACAGCAGCAGTGCTAGTATCTTTTGGTTTCCTCGGTTTTTTAGCTTTGGGGGTTTTGGGGCCAGCCTCATTACTCTGTCTTTTCTTTGCTTTCCCACCTTCCTTCTTCACTGGAGGCTCTTCAACTCTACTTCCTGCCATTTCATCTCTAGAAGAAGAGGGTGGTTGCAAGATCTGCAAGGAGTGAGCTCCTGAAGTCTCTGGAATAACAGGGTAATTGTGATTGGCAGGTAACATATTAAGAAACCTATCTCTGGGGTTACCTCCCCAATTGTCCCTCACATAGTTCATATGTACCGGTGCTTCAGAAACGACGCAATCCCGAGGATGAAACGATCCGTTAGCATTAACCATAACAGAAGGATCACGGCCTGGTAAGTAGTGTTTTATATCCCGCTCAGACATAGTGGACATGAGCTGCAGGCCAAGATGCCCTTTGAAGGACGGCTCATAATATCCCCAGTTGCGCATGTTCAATGCATCATCATCCATGAGAACTACATATCAAACATAACATCAATAAGAGAAAAGTCCTCAGGTTTTGAACCTTCCCAATAACAGTATTTGGATGGCGATTGTTGAACCACATCATAATAATGGCTTTGAAATGAAGACAAACAAAACAAAGAAAAAAAAAGACCCAAAACTGGAAGGGAAAGGAAAAGAAGTAACAGGACAAGTAAAGAGAAAGGGAACGATGAAAAATTGGTATGGAAAGATCTAGAACACTAATTTTGTAGATCAATCTTGTTTCTAGATATTTGGTGATTAAATAGGATTCCAGATCTATCATTCAATTCAACAGAGCCGACGAGAGAAGAAAAAAAATTACAATCAAGAGAGTTAGGGTTCGGATCTCATTTCCAAGGTCCTGAACTCGAATATTCGAAGATTACAACCAATTAAAGAAAATCAAGACTTGTTCTCATTGACAACATGGGAAGCAAAATAGAAGCCCTAAACAGAGATCCATAACAGTAAAAAAAACCGTGGAAGTAAAGAAAACATCAGATCTCAGACATCCATGATGCAGAAATCGGAAGAAATTAGGGTTTCGAAAGCAGGCAAATCTGAAAAACCACAGATCTGAAGAAAATAATAGAATAGAAATCTGGTATTCACAAAAACAAGAGAAGAAGCAAATGCATATTTATATTGGTTTGCAGATAACAGGCGTAATAGTACAAGAAGGACCCTTATATTCAAACTCGAGAGAGAGAGAGAGAGAGGGAGAAATAGGAGGGGAGAGAGAGAGAGAGAAAGGAGGGGAGAGAGAAAGAGAAAGAAGGGGAGAGAGAGAGAGAGAGAGAGCTTACTTGGGTGGGTGTAAACGGTTCTTTAGGGTTTTGCCCTTCTGGAGAGAGAGACAGAGACAGAGAGGAGAGAGGAGAGAAGAGAGAGGAGAGAGGAGAGAGGAGAGAGGAGAGAGAGAGAAAGAGAGAGAGAGCTAAAAATGGGTATCTATCAAAGAAGTAGTTATCGCTTTAAAATAAGAAGAGAGAGGGAAGGATAAGCAAAGCAAAGTTTATATTTTTTTTTTATTTTTTTTATTTCTTATTTATTAACAAAATTAATAATTAAAATAATAATAAATAAATATTATAAAAAAAAAAAAAAAAAAAAAAAAAAAAA